CATCCTACAATTAGATAGAGCCCTAAGGAGTCGAAGGAAGAAAAGCTTCAAGAGCAGCTTTCAGTTCTAGCCACCTTACTTCGCCCATCATAACCTCGGCTTGCTGTGTTCTTTTGTCAAGCTTCAGTTGCTGAATCCGCTTCGTGTTGGTTGCGTACTTCGCCAGTCAAGGTTTGTTCGACTCAAAATCCTTTTCAAGCTCAGAAATAGTGGCCAACCTCTAATGTTGAAGTTCGGCAATTTGACGGTCAAGGTCAGCCGGTCTTTCTTTCTTTGCCTTTATTGCCTCGAGCTTTAGGCGAAGAGCTTCATGAGCAACTGTTGCAGCCTTAAGGTCATTCTCTGCCCGAATAGCCCTTTCAAAAATAGTAAAATATTGTCAAGTTCTCTCTAGGACAGATGACAAATGAATAACAGACTCGTTGCTCAGCAAGCCGCCGAATGTAAGGTTGTTCAGGCATTCTGTCACATAGGCGAGACCTTTGCATTGTAGAATTTGCGAGGCCGAGAAAGATATAACTTATTGTAATAGTAAAGCAGGAAGGCTTCGTGCTCTCATTTCTTAAGAGATTCTCCCTCCAAACTGACGAAGTGGGTGATCAGACTACTGTAGTTGAAGAAATTCTTGTGCAATTTTTGCACGTCTTCTTTCGACGGCCTTTGATTATTCTTTGAAAAAACTTCGATGGCCCGCTCATCGAAGATTGCCTTCAGGTCCAGGTTGAGTTCGTACTTGGAGATAATGACGTTGATTGAAAGACCAGAGGGAGAAATGCCAAGTATGGCCGTGATGTCCAGCACAGTTGGACTGATGAGACCGAGAGGAAGGATCATGGTGTTGATGGCCGAACACATGAACCTCAAGGCGACCATCAGGAGCTCTCGGTCCATGGTGATTTTAAAGGTCGAGAGCTTAATGGCATCAAAGATGCCGAGAGTCTTCCACTCGTCACCAAAGTGTGGTTCCATTCGAGTGACCCGAGCAGCCCAGGTCACTGTGGTTGAGGGCCAAGTTCCTTAGGGTTTGGCCAATTCCCATTTCGACCAGTCGTAACCTTAGAGCAAGGGTTTTAAGCAATGGGTCTTTAACATATGGGTGATGGTTTCTGGGACGTTGTCCTTAAAAAGGGTCCTAAAGTCTGGTGGAATGCGCTCGAGTCATCCTCGGATCGAATAATTTTGATGACGTTCCGATTGATAATGTCTTAGCATTTGTCGCACTCCTCGACAATCTTGGTGATGAAAATGTTGGCAGCCATTGATGAAGACTTGAAGTTTTTCTGGGTTTCAAAGCTGGGTTGCTTTTCTGGGTTTGAGAGCAAGTGGCAAGGAATTATGGAGATATGAAAGCTTAAAAAGGTCAAATGAATTTGGATTGAGTATTTATAGGCATTTGGGAAGAAGATTAACAGGTTCATTTTAGAAGAATGAGAGGTAAATTTGACCAAAATATTTCGTAATCATGGCAGATATTTGAGAATCCAGGTGAAGAGGCCGAAAAGTTCACGGTTTGAGGATGCACGATTGCATGTAGCAGCAAGTTTAATGGCGAATGGACGTTTCAGTATCCCCATGCCTCAAAAAGCTGAAAAGCTCGCTAATTGAGGTAGCACGATTGCGTGAGACGATGAGTTTAATGGCAAATGGACGTTTCAATGTATGCACACCTCAAATATCATTATTGAGAGACAAACGTACCAAGGAGATGCCACGTGGCAAGGAATCTAACAGGGTTAAGATCGTGCAATCGCGCCTAATAAATGCGCCTGGGTGGTTGGGACATTCGAGGTTTTTCAATGTCCTTCAGGAATGTGCTAAGGGTTCATTTCACCTTTTCAAGGTCGAGGCTCGGCTAGAAGTTATAGGCTGAATACCTCAGAAGTGAGAGCGTAATGTTTGGGCCCAAAATTATTTTGGGTCGAGCTTAGAGTTATTCTCGGCCCAGTAGCATTCATCTAGAATCTTGTCGTAGGCTATCCATATTGGTTTAGATAAAGGTGAGATAGTCGAAACCTAGTGCGACAATGAGTCTTAAGGCTAAGACTAAGGATGCTGAGAATTAGGAAATGAATCTGGTTTGTTAAAGAGTTTGGTTCAAAGTTCTAGTGAAGTTAGGATTGGCCGAGACCTAATCAAATTAGGTTGAGGAGTTTTAATCCGAGTATGATTCTAGCTCGGCCATAAGGGGGTTTGCTACTATAAATAAAAAATGGAGGCGTCATTCAAGGCCTCCGATTCAACACACAAATTGCCATACACAAAGCTGCTATACAACCTTTGAGATTTTATCTTCTTCCCCCTTCTTCTCGCCACCACATCTTCAGTTTGGATAAACAACACTGTGAAGGCAATCGGTGACATCTTCAGTTTGGATAAACAGCATTGGAACCGTAGAATCAGCCGATTAAGGAGCACATTTAGTTTGGATAAGCAGCACTACTTCGAGATCGATTGGTTATTTATCCAAGTCTCGATCGACAAGGGTTTTCGAGTCCTTGTTGGTAGAGGTCATTTCATCAGCCTTCTCGGCTAAGTGAGGTGTTATATGTTACTAGGCTTGGCACGTTGAATGCCGAGTTGTTTTATGATTGGGTATTCACAAGTATCTTTTAGAGTTCAGCATTCCGACGGTCGAACCACATTCACCATCAAGACATACATCTCTTTCGAATACTTGTGTCCGTATAGTTTGGTGCCGGTTCAACTGCTTATACTCTTACGAATATAATCACCGTGATCGAACCTGGCGCCAACGATCCGGGAACTTCGCAAGACTAACAGCCTTGTCTTCTAGAACCCAAAGGCCAAGACATGTTCATTCCTCAGTCGTAGTCGCAAGACCAAGAAATCAGAAGCACGCTCAACGCGACATTAACATATTTTATTCTCCGGCCGAGCTTGGCTGTCAAGTTGGCACGCCCCGCACATAACTGAATGACATAATTAATTCATTAGTTACTTGGCCTGCATGCCACATAAGCTTGGTAGTTTTTTAGAGTCAACACATGTGTTTAGCGATTTCAAGTATTATTGTTCGTTAGAAAAGTTGACATAATAGTTTTGACTATTATTCTGAAAAGTAGTTCAGTCAAAGCAAAACATGGTTTATACACCTCCATCTAATGTGGCCAAAATGCATTTCATGTACTAGCACATGACCGCTTTTATCCATGAAGATACATATGTGCCGAAAACTAACAAAATCATCGAAGTTGGATTCGCCCGTATGGTTTGGTGTATATTTTAATCTACAATAAACATGACATAATTAATACAAAAAAAAAAAGGCGTTTTGATATAGACGTCTCGTTTTTTAATTTTTTAGATTAAACATACACTTTTTTTGAAAATTTGATCAAACATTTTCCTAAAATTTTGGTCATTAATTTCAATTTTTCACATAAGTTCAATTTTGTTTAGAATTTTAGTTTTTCACGACTTCTCTTGGACATTTCAGTTTTTTTTTCTTCTTATTATCCCTATATTTATGCATTTATTATCCATCTCTATGCATTTTTTTATTGTTTGTTATAATTTTTACTTTTTTTTGTGTGAATATAGTAGAATATTTATAAAAAAAAAATTGTCAGATTTTATTATTTAGAAGACCCAACACATAATAAAGATTTGTTTGATTATATAACTACGTCTAGTTACCTATAATATGGACACATTTAGTTTTATAGTGGATTTGATTTTTTGTATTTCTCGGTACATTTGAAATGTAAATGTACCAAAAAGGGTTATCTGATAGAGACATTTGGTTTTGTGGTACATTTGCGATTTTTTGTTCATTTGGTCTTTTAGTACATTTGGAATCTAAATGTACCAAAAGGGTTACCCAACAATGGGTACATTTGGTTTATGGTACATTTGAAATTTTGGTACATTTGGTTTCTCTGTATATTTGAAATCTAAACGTACCAAAAGAGTTATATAACAATAGGTACATTTAGTTTCTCGGTATATTTGAAATCTAAACGTATCAAAAGTCGATACTTTTGTTCTCAAATGTACCATAAGTTTTAAGTATATTTTTTATATATCTATATGTGAAAAAAAAAATGTATTGAAGACTTTTTATTGAGACATTTTTAAGAGAAAGATATATTTTTTTTAATACTGATAATAAAGAAATGAGGAATTAGTTAATTAATTTTTTATTTTATTAAAAAAATATGATTTAATGCATAGAAGGGGATTCGAAATTAAATTCCTATATTATAGGCAATTAGTTGCTAAGCTACCTTATGCCTCTATATAAATGCATTTAAATTAATGCTTTAAAAGAGATGAATGTTTAATCAAACAACTATAACTATAAAAAAGATGTAGTGCATTCTAAAATCGTGATTACGTGAAGAAAATTGACATGATTTAAATCATTTATTTACATATGTCGCTATCAAAGCGATGATTTCAATATTACCATTGTTTGCAAAATACTTTAACATCGATTCCTAACTCCCACTTGTTCCACATCATTTGCTATCTTCAAACAACCAATCTTACCTTAATATCTCATTTCGCTTTTTAGTACGTAGAAATTGTAAAAGTTCTTAATCGAACGCAAGATGTTTCTTTAACCACATCGACAACACAACAGTTTGATCTGACCGAAAAATCGAATAGATTGAAACCCGTCCACCAATGACTCCGTCAACTTTTATAACGAAACCAATTTACATTGGTCTACTCCTTGTTAAACACAGTTTCAAAAAGTCCACAAAATGACTTGAGAAGAAAAGACAATGAAGGACCAAGTTGTAATAATCCATAATGTACAGGGGATAAATGATAAAATCTGTAATTTGACCCTGAAAAATTAGAAGTAAAAACAAAACAAAAAAGGGCGCGTATCTGACGGCCAAGCATGAAAAACGATGGTCGGCCGTGGCCCGTGGAGATTGCGAGGACGCCACGGAGCATCCCATTTGACGGGTCACATAAAACACACTCAACGCCCACTCTCTCTCTATCTCTCTCTCTCTACGCGCCTATTTCCGAGAGTTCCATTTTATACGCTCACAACTCACAAGAAGAACTGACACACACACACACACGCATTTTAAGATAACATTGAAAATACCAACCACCACCTCTCTCTCCCTCTGTCTCTCTTTCTCTCTCTTCTGGCGGCGCGTTCAATTCACTTGCAGCAGCGCTATGGGACAGTCCTCCTCGCTTCCTGAGGCTCCGGCGGAGCACAGCCCCAGAGAAATTTCAACGAGCCGACGGTTCAGCTTCAAAACGGTGGCGATTGCTTCATCCTCGACCGACGAAGACTCCGAGTTTTACGGGGAAGTCACTCAGGGCCGTGACTACACGTCTGATCTTCCCGACGAGTGTTTGGCGAGTATTTTCCATTTCCTCGGCGCCGGTGACCGGAAAAGGAGCTCGCTCGTCTGCCACCGGTGGCTAAGAGTCGACGGACAGAGCCGGCACCGCCTCTCTCTCAACGCCCAGGCTGGGCTTCTTCCTTTCCTGCCTGTTCTCTTCGCCCGCTTCGACTCGGTCACCAAGCTCGCGCTTCGATGCGATCGCAAATCGATCAGCCTGGACGACGACGCTTTGGTCCTGATCTCGATTCGCTGCAAAAACCTCACGCGCCTCAAGCTCCGCGGCTGCCGCGAAATCACCGACCTCGGAATGGCCACGTTTGCGCAGAACTGTAAGGGCCTGAAGAAGCTCTCCTGCGGCTCGTGCATTTTCGGCGCCGAAGCCATGAACGCCGTCTTCGAGCACTGCCCGGCGCTCGAGGAGCTCTCCGTGAAGAGGCTCCGCGGCGTCCACGACGGCTCAGAGCCGATCGGCGACAAAATTACGTCGTCGTCGCTGAAATCGATAACGTTGAAGGAGATACTGAACGGGCAGTGCTTCGGGCCGCTTATCGTAGGTTCCAAGAATCTCAAGACTCTGAAGCTAATCCGCTGTTTGGGGGATTGGGATACGGTTTTGGAAAAGCTTGGAAATGGGAACCGGGGTTTGATTGAAATTCACCTGGAGAGGTTGCAGGTGACCGATTTGGGGCTTTCCGCCATTTCGAAGTGCTCGAATTTGGAGGTTTTGCACATTGTTAAGGCTGAGTGTTCGAATTTTGGGCTTATTTGTGTTGCCGAAAACTGCAAGCTGCTGAGGAAGCTTCACATTGATGGATGGAGGACGAATAGGATTGGGGACGAGGGTTTGATTGCCATATCGAAAGAGTGCCCCAACATACAGGAGCTTGTTCTGATTGGTGTGAATCCCACCTCTTTGAGCCTAACTGCAATTGCTTCCAATTGCCAAAAATTGGAGAGGTTGGCGCTTTGCGGTAGCGGGTCAATTGGAGATGCAGAATTTGCTTGCATTGCTGCGAAATGTGTGGCATTGAAGAAGCTGTGTATTAAGGGGTGCCCAATTTCCAATGTCGGGCTTGAAATGCTTGCTTGGGGTTGTCCCAGTTTGTCCAAGATTAAGGTCAAGAAGTGCAGAGGAGTGAGTGCTGAGGCGGCGGAGAGGTTGCGGGAGCGAAGAGGATCATTGACTGTGAATTGGGATGCTGGTGAAATTGGATCAATGGATGCTAGTGGGTGTGCAGGTGGAGCCGTTGAAAGCGATGTGGAGCTTCCGGTTGATCACGTAGCAGTTGCTATTGCTCCAGCAAGTAGCAATAGTCCATTGGCATTGTTGAGAACAAAGTTTGGGGTTTTTTCAGGTAGGAGTTTTGTTCCTTGCACATTCAGAAGGAGGTCAGGTGGTCAGAGTAGTTCCAGTTCAAACTTGTAGGTGATGTTCTCGAGGGCTACAAAAGTTGCCCTCGGGGCCTCATCTCACGTTGGTACGTTGTTTACAGTGTATTCATCGAATGAAGTTTCTTCTGTATTCGTGCCCTACTTGGGGCTTTTCGTGATGTCGTATTGAATTTTTGTTCGCAAGAAAATGCATGCAGAGAATTGCTGGCATTCAAGTTGTAATGTCTAGCTCAATTATCCAGAAAACAACTTCATCTATTGCAGTTTGTTTTCGTAATTTGCTCACATCATAAGTTGTTTACTTTTTCCTTGATACCATCGTTCATGTAAGAACTTGAAACTACATTCATCTTTATTGCGTTTAATCTGAGCGCAATGGAGTTATGCCCTGCTTCTATGTTGTGTAATCTTACAATCCAAGTAACTGTGCTCAATCTAATGTGGCGATGTTTCGTGTGATTGCTTTCTTGATATGCCTGGGATGGTGTTTGTCCTCTACGCACGATGCGTTCAATAAGCGGTTTTTGATCATCCAAAGAGAATAGGAAACTGCATGTGTTTGTTTACTGATCTGTGTGGCAATGTTGGTGAATGTAGTTGAATTGATGCTGCATTTAACCCTTGTAATGTGACCGATATTGTTTAATCTAGAGGCAATCCGTTAAACTGTTAACCAACGGTTGGTCAAGAATCGGAATGAGAATAAAGCGCGTTGCAACGGTAGCGTTTACAAACTTTACAGGTAGCAGTGCCGGTGACTTGACCGATGAGGCGAAGCAATTACACAAGTATCTCTTGTTTACAAGCCTAGCTAATAAGTTAATGCTTTTGAATTGCCAGCAGTGGTATTGCTTTTTGCCCGCGTGAACCTGACCTCCTTTTTCTTCCTTGAATGTCCCATACGTTACATGTATTGTTTGTTGCCAGCGGATTGGCATGTTCCTTGCTACTTCCATTGGAGATGCATTTTTTCATATGAACTAAGTTAATACGACACTAATCACTTGTTTGGACTTACATCACAATATGATTTCAAAGGCCTCGTTTCAAAAATTAGTCAAATCAGACTCGTTTCACCATTCGATTGTTCTAGTAGAAATTATCAAATTTCTTTAGTTGCACCAAGGAATCAGAAAGTTACATGGGCCCTAAACAAAATCAGGAATGCCCATTTGCTGAATTGCAAGGAGTTTGAGGTGGTGTGGATGAAAACGATGAATCAGCAATTTTCAAACCAAAACAACACAATCTCTGCTGATGAAATGCTTTTTTTTTTTTTTTTTTGTGTTTCCCCTCTAGAAAGGCATGCTTACTTAACAAAAATGGAAAAAGAATAAGAGAGCTTAAAAATATGAGAAGAAAAGTGAATCAAATCAACTAGAGATCTAATTCTTGATTTTTAAGCGTTTGATTACAGATTTCAAGGGAAAACTTGTTCTTGTGTGTAAGTAGACGTATGAGAAAGTTAAAAAGTGAAATGATTCACTTATTTATATTTTAGTAAACGCATGAAACTTGAGAATTAAATTAATGAAAAATGGAGACCAACAATTGTAGCTTTGCGTAAATCCGTAAGTAATCCAATCCAAAAGAGAGATGGATGAGAGTTTGAATTAGAATAATGAAAAATGGAGTTGGGATTGTTTTAGAAAGCAAGTTGGATTTGAAGATTGGAGTAAAAAATGAAATGTTCTTACTAACTTTTAATTTCTATTTGTTGGAAAGGATGAAATGAGACCATATGAGAAGAAAATGATAATTTCAAGAAATAAAATGAGACAAAACTAGCTGTAAGAAGTGAAATGCGATTAAACGAGAGTTCCACGAGCAAATCAATTAATAAGCCAAAATACGATTGGTCTTTTGCCATGGAGTGCACCAGAAAATATCGAAAACACCCTTGAGGATCCTCCTTTGTAACATGCGCTAAACCCTATAAGCGAAAAACCAAAAACCCTCTCAGTACCGGTTTTTTCAGCCGCCCGCCACACGAACTTCGCGCCGTTGCTCTTCGCCTTGCGTGTGGTCGTCACCGGAAAACGCCCCAATGGATGATTTATTCGCTACCGCAGAGAAAAAGGTTCCCTCTCTCTCTCTCTCTCTCTCTCTCTCTCTCTCTCTCTCTCTCTACCACAACTTCATACTCTTGGTCTCTCAGCTGAGTTTTCACCTCACAATTTTCAACTCAATTCGAATGCTTTCGTCTGTTCTACCTTCTGGGCTGCCGATAAAATTGATAAAAAGCCAAATTATCAAAATTTAAGTTTAAGCATTATTGGGTTGTAACTTATTTGGTTTAATTGTGGGAAAAGTTGGATGCTTTTGTTTTGTGTGAATTTTTTTGAATTTTTCTGAAATTATGGTGGATAGGTTCTTGTGGAAATTGTGAAATTGTCCCAAAAGAGAGGGATGAAGGGTGATAAAGGAGACTGGAAGCAGTTTTTAAGTAGTTATGATAAGAAGTTTGGGGCTAGCTTGAGTGATCCCGGTAGGCGGTCCAACGATGTACTGACTGCATTTTTGAAGACTTTGAACAATGAGGATGATTTGAAGGTAATCAGCTGTGTCCAGTTTGTACGTTAATTTGATACAACAGTTGTTTAATTCGGATGGTGATTGTTGCCCCTTTTGTGTTTTCAGGTTTTGGCTAAAGTTGTCCAATGCCATACAAACCGCCAAGCCGTGGAGCAATTGTTAAAGAATTTTCCAGAAAATGAATCCCCAGAGCAGGTATCTTTTTTTGTTACACTTAGTTGTTGGTTTTTGCTGGCCCTGTAATTTTAGAAGGGTATGCTCCCCTAGTTGCTAATTGCCTTTTTATTTTCATTATGCACAGTTTATTAGATAGTATTAATTTTGTCGTGATGATGGCCATGCAGAAGCTTGTCCGTGCAACTCTTGAGCACCCACAATATCCACTGGATTACTCATTCGCATCAAATGATCAGGTTTACTGGCTGTATCTGTGCTTGCATTCTTGTTTTAAAGTTACATTAGTTTGAGTGTGTCTTAACATTCATATGAATCCTTTGTAGTGAAATTGTTTCATTCATTTCTGCATTGCTTTAGATTTCTTTATTACTTCATACACAGGATAGGCATTTTCCTACTCGCCTATGATCCTTTATTAGGATAAGGTGTTTTACGGTGTTGTTTGTCCATGTATATCCTTTCTGTTGGAAAAGGATAACTTATGTTTTATGGAAGAGATATTTTGCATAGCAAACTGTTTTGTTGCTGTAAACTGAATGATAAAAAGCAATAGAATTTGATTTCCAATTGTTTTGGCCCTGATTTTACAAAATTGGTTACAAAAACTTTGGCTTTTCTACTTTGACTAAATTAAAAGTGATATTCTGTAGAAATCTTAGCTTTTCAAATGGCTGTAAGTTTTACCTGGTCACGTGTTTCTCCCTGTTAACTTGTATAAATGACGAAGCAGGATTGGGTAGCTACAAAGCTAGGTAAAAAATCCAAGGTGATGACCTCAAATGCAATGTTTGCTGTTGATTGCGAGATGGTTCTATGTGAAGATGGCTCTGAAGCTTTAGTAAAGGTGTGCGTAGTGGATGCCAATTTACAGGTATAGCTGCTCTTCAATGTAGACTAGTTACATGATTAGTACCTAGGCCTTTTCAAAGTCCCTTTTCTCTGTAACCTTATGAATTTGGACTTTGGCTTTTCAGGTCAAACTGAATGAATTTGTAAACCCTTGCAAAGAAGTTGCTGATTACAGATCTGAGATTACAGGAGTTTCAGCATCGGATTTGGATGGAATTACATGCACATTGAAGGATATACAGGTATTAAGGTTATTTACATGATTCAAGGGGTTCTTTTTCAATCTGATTTCAAGAGTTATGCATGACCCTTTCTTACCTGAACTTGTTGGTTTATATTGTAGAAACTCTTGAAGAAGTTGTTGTCAGATGGTACTATTTTAGTCGGGCATAGCTTATGTAACGACCTGCAAGGTAAGTTAACTGTTATTCTATAAGTAGATATTTGGGCCTTTTTGAAACAAGTCATTATATGTTGTTCTCCTTTTCAGTTTCTGCAATTTAAGTATGACTTTGTAGTTCTTTTTAAATTTTTTGTTGTATTGTTCATTGTTCTTAATATTGCTCTTTTTTGTTCACAGCACTGAAGTTGGAACATGCCAGGGTGATCGATACTGCATATATCTTCAGATACTCTGATGGACCTATTGATAGAAAACCTTCCTTGAACAATTTGTGTAAGGCAAGTTATAAGAAACTGGAATCTATTAATTAGTCTATTGCATGATTCTGCAATTGAGTGCTTGTCCATCTTTAATTAGGGATGACTTGAAATTTTTTTACCTTTAAGTTCTTGATTGTTGCAATGTGGGCAGTTATTTACTAACTTTGGCTATTTAGGATGGTGGTCTACTTATTTTGAATTTTTTTTTGGTATTGTGTATTATCACTTTGGAGATGCTTTTGGGATAAACTTTTAAAGCTTCTGTTATACTCTAACAAGAACTAAAGCAAAGAAACCATGTGTTGGGATTTTTTTTTGAGATGGATGACTTATTTTTCCATATTATTTTATCCAGTCAGTATTGGGTTATGAAGTCCGGAAGCAAGGTTCTCCACACAATTGTCTGGATGATGCTTGTGCTGCAATGAAACTAGTTCTTGCTAAGATAAAGGGCGAAGTTGGTGTTATTGTCCCCCCAGCTCAGGAGGATGTGAGTTTCTAGTTTTTCATTATCTTTTAATTCCAGGTATATCATTCATTATTGTCTAAATAAATCCTTCTATTGTAGGTACGTGAAGTTAATATGGCAAAGCTACTTCTGCATAGGATACCAATTACAGTGCCTAGTGAAGAACTGCACAATGTCGTTCCTGGGAACTATACGATACAAGTCAAGGTTCAATATATATCCCTACATTTGTTAAATTTAGTGGTTCAGTGTGCTATAGAGGTATTATGTTATGGTTTTACTTACAAAAGACCTTCACACACCATATCATAGATACCGAGGTTTGGCTTTCATTTGGATAAAATGGTCGGGTATCATAACTTTCTTTCTCCCCCCTTCCCACTTTCTTCCCTGCTTGTTACTGTGAAAGTTAATGTAGTTCATCATTTCCAGCAACCATCTGTGAAAGCGCAAGGAGATAAATATTCTGCCTTTGCTATCTTTATGAGTCCACAAGAAGCACATCAGGCATATGAAAAAGTCCAAGGCAGCCGGGAGAAGGTACATACACTTATATGTCTTTATACCATTGACCAGAGGCTTTAAGGGGATCCCCATTTTTTGAAAAAATGGGGATTGATTGTGTGGCCCACACCACATCGAACTCCAAAAATCCAAACCATCTATTTTTCAAGTTGCACTTCGTAGACCATCTTGCAAAATATTAGCCAAAATTGGAAATGTTTGAGGCATCTAATTGAGTTTAAAGAAATTGACGAACACTATGTTCTTAGAAACAATGAAATTTCTTCGTGACCATTAAATGGGTAAATGGTTTCGGATTGAATTGATTTTTTGCAAGGATGATCTATGATTAGAGACTTAAAAATTAGACGATTTTGATGGTTGAAGTTCGATGTGAAGTGGGTCCCACAACTATAAGATATCTCATTGACAATGTCGAACACATATATAAGATATCTTATTGTGTGCATGCTGTTCTTTTTACATGAGTATATTTTTCTGGTTAGATATCCTTGATTTTCATTTGTGTGCTTCATGTGATGGGGTTAGTTGTCATTACAAGGCAATTCTGTCATCTATAAGGCACTCGGATTTGTTTGGTTATAAAGAATATAACGATGTTAATCTATCTTTATTATAGGACTCATGTGGACGGCCCCAGAAACTTGTTGCATTTAAGCTCAGCACAGGTGTAACTGCTGATTTATTCGTTCGTAAAATGGCAAACGTTGATTCCTTTGCTCAAGTCTCATCGAAGAGAGCTTTAGAAGTTGAAGAGAACTCAGGTGTACATAAAAAACAAAAGACAGGTCAGAAAGTAGAAGAGGAGACAACGGCAGAGCTAAATCAGTGCTGCGATCACCTTAAAGAGATGGAAAGGTTGAAGGAAGAACAACTAAAGGCCCTAGACAAGTGTTCTGATCAATTAAAGGAGATTGAAGGACTGAAGCAGCAACTTCAAAATAAAGAGTTTGAAATTTCGACACTGAATAAGATTGTTTCTAAACTCCAAGGGGGCAAGAAAAAAGGGAAGTAGAATTTAGTGTGGCCCCGAGAATTATTCGCAGCTCTGGAGGCACGTCAATGCTCAGCGTGTTGCAACAGCTCGTAGCCCTTTGAATGTGATGGGCAGTTTAACATCAGGCTTCATGAAGAAAAAGGTCGAAGGTCTCATTTTTTGGCAATTATGGCTTCCCCGTTGCATCCGTCGAGAAGTACATCAGTTTTGCTGCTGATCAATTTTGACTGGTGGGATTTTCCGAAGATACAGATTTATTTATATGTAACTTTGATTGGTGATACAACATTTGATTCTTTTTTTCAAAAAAAGAAAGAACAATTTCGTGTTAGCCGTTCTACCTAAATAACGAACTGAGTAGGGTGGATTTTACTGTTAAAAGATTGCAAAAATGGCGAGACTAACGCCCCTTTTCAATTAGCATCTGATACCTCTGTGAAAACAATGAAGGAAACACTCAACCAACATCTGATTCCTATGATCGTTCCGAGCTCTGCTATCTATTGTTTGGAATGGTAAATACACAATACAGTGGTGTCTCTTGTACAATGTCAAGTAAAATGGTCAAACTGCTTCATTCACTATCAAAATCGTCATCCCCGAAGGAGAAAACTGAAGCATCCGCGGCTATCGCCCTTATATCATCTGCCCCCGATGAGCTCAACTTGCGGGAGTGGCCCAGGTGAGATTTTTCAGCACCATCACTAGTCGGTTTTCTGGAAGTACTCCGCGGGCTATCCACACTTCTGGTGTTAGATGGATGATTAGATGCAGCAATTCCAGCTCTAGAATTAGCTTCCGGTTGCCTGCTCGTTTTATCCCCAGGCTCATCTCATCACTATCTGAAAATACATCGTCACCATCTTCACGCGGAGAGATTTTACTTTGGTTGGGGTTTCCTGCAACACCACGACTTGAAGCATTGGCGTCACTTGAGCTACCCTCAGGTTTTCTACCCGAAGAATCTGCTTTATCTTTTGTAGGCAAAGTAGTACCATCATAGTCTATCATCACAACTTCAACCTGAAATCCTGGACAAGGGAATTTTCTCTGCAAATCACAACCAAGGGTGTTTCACAAGCAAGCACCACGAAGAAACAGAAATGTACGGTAAAGAAAGTGAGAGATGATCTAACATTTGACATATATCATATTCATAAGTAATTAGATGAAGGTCAAACCATTAACCTTGTCAAAATCATCAAGGTCATCTGCGGTTAAGATTTTTCTGTTTTCTGTCATTGTATTTAACCAGCTGAAAAAGAGGTGAGAATAAAAACGAAATCAATCTATGTACCACAATATGCAGTCTAGTCTGTTTATATATGTTTATTCCATTTCTTGTACCACAATTGCTGAAAGTAAAATTTTGGATATGAGAATAGCAATATTAGAGCAGGTCGAGTGAAACAAAAGCATGACAGATTCAACATTCGTCATTAAATTAGTAAAGGAAAGTTGCATCATAACATAAACAAGAGTAATATAGAGGAACCGATTACATACCAATAGAAGTCTCCATGGCTATCTTGGAAATGGATTTTGAAATCCCCCACTAACTCAGCAAGACCAGGTTCCCCTGGTAGAGCGAAAACCACAATCCCTTTCTTCCGTGCACTGATCCAGAAATCTTCTGGCTAAAAGAATGAGTTAGTGGCCTTAAATCAGAAATTCAATGGATTTCTACGTATGTATCAAAAAAAAAAATATAACATGCATATCGAAACCGTTTTACTTTGACAAGCACTTACCATAAGATCTTTTGTTTTTGGATGCTTTCTAGATGAGAACAAAATTCCTGTGCATTAGGATAAACATCCAGATAAGTAGCATAAAACAGCTTCTAAATGTGGAAAGAGTGAAGGCATTTTTAGAAATGAATATGCATGCATGGCTCTAAAAACACGCACATGCAACAAAACACAATGAATCATCACGCAAAGATGGCAAACACACACAAAATGTATAATCATCACAACTTCAAGTATTGTACGAGTACTCAACGGCAACTCTGCAAATCGTTATCTGTAACTCAGTACTAGATTCCCTTATCAAAAACGCTATTTTGAACCCAAACAAACTCAAGGTTGGACAAGTAACTAGTTCACGAAGTGAGCAATATTAGAAAGGATCAATATTTAAAAACAAAACTGCCTCTTGGGAATCAAAGAACAGTACAGCATCTTTTATACTAATTATAAATATCTATAAAAAGTGTGATAGTTCAGAGCATCACAGAATATTGCAAGGATGATAGCATCAAAGCTTACCCTTATGATCCGAGATTGCAATGGAGGGCCTAATCCAATAAGGGCAATTGTGAAGCCGAAATCCCCTGAGCATGCACCTATAATATCACAACTTTAGTACCTTCTAAAATGGAGTCTTACGGTACAGACACACTAGTACACAAACACACACACAGAGGCAAGCGATCTATGTTGATAACTTTAGATGTGGACGATTGAGATGCATCTCACCCACTGTGCACCTTAATAACCTATGTCTGATTCAATACCTCAGATCTCAACTTAGCTCCTCAACCTAGGTCCTCATTACAACACCACTGTAACACTTTGATACATATACAAGTGAATGGTCAGACTGATATATTTTGGAGAAGTATATCAGAAGTGTACCTTCGAGGTGGAGGAGTTTCTCCATTGAAGTGTTTTAAGATATGCTCAAAGTATTTGACGTATCTCTAGGAAGATAATAGAAAAAATTGTTAATCACAATGATGTAGATAGATAGACAAGGAACATCAAGCTTAAAAAGGAAATCCAAAAATTTTAACCGACTCACAATCTGACTAGGGAGAACCAGAGCCTTTCCATCTATACATCTTTTATGGTTATAGTAATTCATGGCCTCCTCAGCCGTAGGGAAGAACTGCAGAGTCATGGAAAAACAAACAAGAAAAGGTTATGGTCATAAGTGCAAGAAATATAGAGCCAAAAGAAGCACCAATGTTTCCAGCATACAACCCCCAGGTCTTAAGGTGCTGATTATTGATCTCACCTTAAGAAGTAAGAGAAGGCTACAAATCATTACTCCAGTCCTTGCCATACCAGCTTTACAATGGACGACCACAACATTTTCAATGCCCTCCTTTAACCATGAATGAGCACTTCGACAGAAAGATTCTATGAGTTCGATTGGGGGGCAATTATGATCATCAAACGGGAAACTTGCAGCCTTAAAACATTCAGAGAAGCGAAATACAGAAGAAGCTGTTATTCAACATGACTGAAAAACAGAATTGCAGCATTGAAAAGTTAAACTTCTTAATCTTTCTGACAATACTTTCAAGTTTCTTTCCCAATACATTAATGCATACAAGATAGCTCTCATTAAGCCTATCACATCATTCACAGAATATCTTATGATTTCATCCATGGCCATTTTGTTGTTTAATCAAGATTTTGAAAAACTTTAATAGCTCCATCAATGATACAGTGTTGCTTAATTGTTTTGCGTATAAAAAGTGCCAACCCCTTCATCTAGCAGCAATATCATGCCTTATTTTTCTATTTACTTATAAGGTTTCACATTTTTGCAAACGGCAAGAACCAAAAACCTGGGACAGCCTCACAACTTGGTGCACTGACAAGGTAACTGATGGTTGGCCAAGGACTTGTAATTAAGCTAATACATATGCCAGAAAAAAAAAAAAATTAAATCCTGCAATTTTTCTACACATTTGTTCACATTTCTTTAAGACGGATTATCAGATCCTTCACATTTCTTTAAGCCTTCAACACAATGCAAGTGAAGACAAAAAACACACCTTCCCCTCAAATCGCGATGCATCATACAATCTCTCTGAACAAAGATTGTACACTTTATATTTTCCCTGCAAAACAAATGTCAAATTGACAGAGTTTTTTAAACTAGTCATTGGCCGAAAAGAGGAACAGAACCGCAGAGATAACCTAGAAGCACCATATTCTTAAGCTCAACAGATATTTTCCTGAACTGTAAACAGATTTTCATGCTCCAGTCAAATATTTATGCCTTCAAATTTGAAAACTGATTCCCACCTTGTGAGTAGTCTCAAGAAATCTGATAACTTCTTCCATGTGGTTTCGGTAAAAACCCTGCATCACATGTTGTAGTTGGTATGTTAAAAACGACACACCCAAGCTTACTGGATTCCAAACAAAAACTATGTAATTTTATTACCTCAACGTATCCAAATAGACCTGAGCTTATATCTCCAGCTGGGAAACCCATTGCAATTATATTCTCAGTAATGTATGTCAGATCCAAATCAAAACCTCCCTCCTGCAAATTTAGTGAAGAATAGGTGGCTCTCATAGGCAACATTCTTTGTGGAAAACTCACAATTTTATTATAGGTGAAAACAAAGGTAGTTGCAAAAGGTAATTGACTGCAATGATTAAGAAGTTAACCAAAGAAAAGAAAAATCATATACATATGCACATACAGCCTAATAATTCCTGAATGCTTAAGTAATGGGTCCCACACACATGAGTCGAATATTGCCGATATTCCCCCACTTTAGCCACCCGGGAGAAACGGGTGTGGGGTCTTACCAAAAGGCCTTGGCAATATGTGTGTGTGGTACCATTGCTTATAAAGTACTACATGACTCTTCTTCTAGCCAATGTGGGACGCAAATGTGGCTCTAATCTATGCCACCAAACTCCAACAGTTCTCACACAATAGTCCAAAAGGTCAGCATGGCCAAGTAGTACAAGGAAATAAGGACTGGACCTTTGATGCCACTGAAGTTTCTAATATCATAAAAACATTTCTTGTGTACATACTTTGGGTATCAATGGCCACATTCAAATATCTAATGATAAGTTTAATAGTCAGATGGGTTGACTATGAAGGAAAAGTCTGACATCACCTAGTCACCGAATGACTAAACACTCAAGCCAATCTATCACCATTCACCAGTGTGTAATTTTGTTGAATTATTGTCTGAGCAATCTACATCGAAAACCCTATTCACATTCTATCAAAAATTGAAATGTTAATAAAGTACTTGAATTTGTTGATACACTCGGCGTTAATAATCAAGAAACAAAACTGAAGCACCCCTCAACTGTGGTAAGGTACCTGGTATCTTCGTTTGTTTTGAGAGACCAAATGGCGCGCCTTGACCTGCACAGCCTTCACTGCACTCTGAGATGTGTTAAACAAACCCTTTGTAAATGAAAGAAAAACCCCAGATACCGCTTTCGCATATTGAGTGCTGTTATTATCTTGACCAGAGGCAGCAGTAGCATTTTCAACCCCAGAATCTTTAGCAGGAGGTTGAGTTGACGGGTCATTAGCTTTCGACTCCATTCAGGGGAATCAATGGAGATCCCAACACTGCCGCGGTAGAACTCAATGGAGATCCTAAAATAATACATCAACAGGAACAAATAACCAAGTGAAGTGATTGCATTACAACATAAAGAAATGAATCAAAACTTAGGCAAAAGGAATTCGTGCTTCGAACATAAGCTGAACCGTAAAAACCCAATTGAAAACGAAGATTAACGGTTCGATTAATACATTCCACATACAAAACCAACAATGCAGTCAATCAGAGACTTGGGTTTTATTCTAAATTTGTAGTATTCAAGTTCTTGATGAACCACAATGCATCATACGATTCACACCTCACAAAGACACGCAGGAAGATCCGTCAAGATTCATCTTTTACAATGGCAAATGTGAAACTTTCTTGTAGCATCACCGATCGAATTGAGAAATTCAAAAGATAAGGTGCCAAATTGTGTAAATATAGTTATAGAGTGGGCAATGTGAGAGAGCGCTTACCGAGATTCTGGATTTGTATGAAGGCGGAGATCCTTTTAGGCGTTCCTGTTTAATTTGATTGAAATGTTGGATTGAAGCGAAGAAAAGGAGTTGTAATGTTTATACGTAAATATTACCAGGCAGGTGGAAGATTAGTGTTGCTGCAATTACAAGGTTTGGAACGCCCGCTCTCACTCGTCGTTGTTCGTTGTACTTGGCATGCGTCTAATCCAAGGGTCAACTACCATTTTTACCATTCACCGTCACGTAGTGCTCAGGCTCCAATGCTATATCGTGGCATGTTGCGTTTAAGCTTTTTTTCTATATGTCAATGTATTCTTAGATCGGATATTATAGTGAAAGAAAGCTTGGTAAAAGAAAATTGCTTGTCTTTTCATGTTTGGTAAATTGAATTTTTTTCTTAGTACAGCGATATATTTAAACTAAAAGGTGAATTTAAATTATATAATTGCTAACATATTATGAGAGAGGCAAAACGCGCCCTCTTTTCTTTTAATATTAGTTCTTAAAAAAAAATTCAACGCAAAACGTATGACCACGTTTTATGTGAGGTGATGTCTAATATTGGGGACTGCAAAGAAACAAATTGGGTGCGTATACAATTTAAACAAAAAATAAAATAAAAACAATCCCATTGAGATCCACTCGTGCCTAACCAAACCGAAATAGATCCGGTCGAACCGGTGACCCGTAAAATTGAGGTCACCTCCCTCCCCGACGAAACGGCCCCAAATATAAAACTCTGAACCATTAATTCCAAAGACAATCGCCCAGAGACAGATTCAGAGAGGGAGAGAGAGAAGACCACCACCCAATAAACAAGCTCGGGAAATGGACACTGGAGCGGCGGGAGTGGGTCTCGCCGCAGCAGCCGCCGACGATCCGTTCAAGGGATCGCCGTTCGCCGCCGTTTCGGATTGGAGTTACGGCGTTTCGCGGCGCTACCAGCACTTGCTCGACCGCACGACGCCGCACGTGCTGTACCGGTGGCTGGCGTGCCTGGCGGTGGCCTTAATCTACGTCTTACGCGTGTACCTGGTCCAAGGCTTCTACGTGGTGTCGTATGGCTTGGGGATCTACGTTCTCAACCTCCTCATCGGGTTTCTCTCTCCTCAGGTCGACCCGGAGATCCACGACCTCTCCTCCTCCGACGGCCCCTCCCTCCCAACCCGCGGATCCGATGAGTTCCGCCCCTTCGTCCGCCGCCTCCCCGAGTTCAAGTTCTGGTAATTTCCCCATCTCACTGTGTAAAGTTGTCGCCTTTGCGTTCAATTCGTGATTGCCCTGTTTGTGTTTGTCGAAATACCTCAATGAGATTTCATCTTGCCGTCGGTAATCCCATATAGATTATACAATCATTTGCCCGATTGCCCATCATTGGCCATTGTTGAAATTGGTTTGGTTTTGTGATTGTGTGTGGAAGGTACTCAATCACCAAGGCATTTTGCATCGCTTTTGCGATGACATTCTTCAGTGCGTTTGATGTACCTGTGTTCTGGCCAATACTTCTCTTCTACTGGGTGGTGCTCTTCGTTCTCACCATGAGGAGACAGATTGTACACATGATCAAATACAAATACGTCCCCTTCTCTTTTGGGAAACAGGTTTGCCTTTGCCGCCCAAACGAACCCGAAATAAGTCTTACTTCAACCATTGGTTTGATGGTTTGATCCCCATTGTCCCGATTGCTTCTGTGGATTCATACTCAAATTGTTACTATTTGCAGCGGTACGATGGAAAGAAAGCTCATTCGTCTTCTGTAAAGGCTACAACCCTCCTTCCTAGGGACTGAAACCTTCAGGTGCCTTGACTTACAACTGTTTGTGTTTAAATTAAGCTACCAACTCAACATTGCTCATAGTAACAATTTGTTCTCATGTGTTGTGTTCAACAGCCACGGGAGTTTTTTGGAAGATATGCGGCCTGGAGGAATCATCTTTGGAGCTAATTCACGCGTCTTGTATCTGGACATAACGCGGTTAATTTCCTCGGCTGAAGGCTGAAATTTGTTGTTTATTTCGATTATGCTTCAAGAATCATACTTCTCAAGCACTTGTATTGAAGATTCGTTTATGTTGTAATTGTGATGGTTATTCGCTTATGCTGAGAATAATGGATTAGCTTACTAGTTTTTTCCCACACGCTTGTGTCGGTAATACCTTCGAGGACAACATGTAAGTTTACGCACACAAGTTTCACTTACAGTTGACATAACCTTTTCTTGAACTTGATCCCGGCCTCCATGAGCTCTGTAACGCAAGGAAGTTACTGCTGCCTCCGTTTATCTGCCACCCGATTCGAGTGCGACTATCTCTTGATCCAAACTCTCGTCAGTCTGAAGTCCCGTGCGCAATAGACTTCGCCTGAACACGTCAAGACAATGAAGGCCACCTTGTTCGGACAGGATCGAAGGTGGTTGCGTATCCAAGCGATTACTGGGGTTTGTTCCTATCGCTCTTTGTCAATGGCTCGTCAGTTGGCGTCAATGGATCGAAAAACCCAAGTCTAGCTTAGCTAAAAGTCCTTTCTGCTCAGGATCTCCATACTGCAGCACCAATAACCGATAAAGAATGAAAAACGGAAACTGATTCTCAAGCATGATCATGTCCCTCTGAATCGAATGCACTGTGCCACGCATTGCAAATATGGGATCATTTCGAGGGTAACCTAGTTGCTTAAATCCCTCGGCAGTGCCTCGAAACAGCTCGAGCACAAAGCAACCGTCAAGCACCATCATTTCTACGAACTCGTTGCTGCTGAGCCCCATTGCAACTGGCCCTTCATAGCAAGCTCGAGCCGTTTCTTCAACTTCTTTTATAGAATCAAGATACAGCTCTATGAACTGGTTTGTCTGCCTTAGCATTAGATGAAGCGACCGCCATTTGTGGCGGTCCATCCTTGCCGTGATGGTAAGGCCCCAGTGACACACTTTGAGGCACAATGATTTTGTCATCACCTTCCCTCAAGTAGTGTGGGACTCTGTAAATGCAGTGCTTTGCCCACGAACTCGCCGCGTTGTCCTGGCTGGCCTGATCAAGTTTGTCTTTGATGTTGATCATTCACTCGAATTCCGGCGACTTAGGTCACGCTTCAAATTTCTTGATCACAACCATTTTGGATCAGAATTTGGAGTGGCTCAGATGGTAGCTGCTGCTGATGATGAACTTCTTGTTGTGGCAGTTCAATGATCTGTTTGTGGAAGTAGGAGATTTTGCGATTCCAGATTCGACTGTTTTTAGGAGTTTGACTGTGATGAGGTACCAGCTCAGGAGCTCCTTATCGCGGCAACCATTTTTTTGTTGGCTCAGAAATGCCGTCCTGAGATTGGTATGTGGCTTGAATCCTAAGCAATAAAAAGCACAGCCTGCAAAACAATTTTTCTTGAATACATGCAATCACTCAATGCGGGCACATATTTGATCGTTAAATTTGATACAACACATAAGCTGAGTGATTGAGGACCGTTGGATTTCGCTTGCAAAGGGTCAACTATCAAGGGGTTGAAGATTAGGGGTGGTTCGGTATGGGATACCATACCGAAACTAATATCCCGAATCCCAAACCAAAATTTTTCGGGACGGGAATTTGAAGACCAATCCCAAACCAAATTTTCGGGAATCCCAAATTTCAGGAATCCCGAAATATTTTCGGGATTTTGGGACAAATCGGGAATCCTAAATTGAAATATGAAATTATGAATTGTTCTTCAAATATATAATTCAAGAACACATTCATGAACTAGGAATTTCATTTCATTCACACTACCATTTAATTGAACACTGGCATACCTGACTGTTTTTATCATAGTCAAAATTCAAATTAATTAAACCCTTTTTGCAATCTGTTGAGAGACAAAAGAATCAAGCCTTCTGAAATCATCAGTCATGGCAGCAGCAATAATAAAATCCACATGAATATCAAACAGAACAAGAAAAATATGCAAGGTGTAGGGCATTCCAGGTTGCAAAGCATGAATTAGAAACTACTAGCATCAATTATAAAAGAATAATATATATATGTATAAATATATATATATATATATATATATAATAATTACTATTATATATTTTCGGTTCGGTATGGGATTCCCGAAATATCGAGAAGCCAATCCCGAATCCCATACCGAAATTTTGGGATCGATTTGGGATAGCATCCCGAAAATTTCGGGAATTTCGGTTTGAGAAATTTTTGATTTGGGATCGGGATTTTTTCGGTTCGGTTCGGGATTTTCGGGAATTTTTTCCACCCCTATTGAAGATGATGGGGCTGTTGCTAACATCATGATATAAATTGGATCAGATGGTTGTTTTAAATTAAAAATTTAATAGATGTAAACCAATGGTGCATCCATCATGGATCCTTTTTAAGATGACTTTTAGTTGCAATCTTGTAATGTTCTATATTCTTTATATTCTTACTCTTACCGTTTATTCTTGTGCCAACCTTCGTTGTTCAATCATCATCGTGACTCTTAATTTTCACGTTGTTAACAACTGCGGCAAGGAAATTATTTCTGTAATAATAAGACGTGATTTATAAGATTTTTTGACATTTTTTGTAGGAATATAATTGTATGGCAGTTTTCACACTTTTTCTAGGTTTACCGTTAGGAAGACATGCCTCGTCCAGCTAAGGTTCGTTTCCTTGCTGCTACAGTCGAGATGGTCACAAGTGCAGTTGAAGAAGATGCAGTGTTCTTTGGAGGACTCGTGCGGATATTCAATGGTTGGCTTCTTCTTTTTAGTGCATTACATGAAGGCATGTCTATCGAGACACAAACTTTGTAGCAGATGATGTGACTAATCTAGGTCTTTTCCTTCCTAATATGTATGTTTGGGATCGAAAACTCCATGTTCAAGCCACTACGGCTTTCTTATTTGATTGTAACGGATCTTGGTTTTCTCGCTTTAATGCATTCTTTCTTCAGAAAAAAATCATTTCTCTCCAAGTTCTAACACTAGAGGTGTCGAGAGTTAAGAGACATCAGACTTGTGCTTGATATATCTTAGTCTTATTTCCAAGAGGTATCCACGACACGATTCAAGGAGAGGGCTAAGGGCCATTCACTAGGGTATAAGAATCTTAGACACATGTCACCTTACTATTATTCCCTATTTATTTATTCAATTTAAGCACCATTTGTGACTTTGGCATCTGAAGGCCTTCAACACATACTAGGTCAGTTCTCTTAGACCTTTTAAGTTTGAACTATTTCTTTATGCAAGTGTGACAAAAAAATGTACTCACTGTCAGGGCTGTTAGGAAATCCTTGGTGTCTATTCACCAACCACAAAAAGGGACTTTCTTGGTGGCTAATCAAAAACACACACTTGATTCATGTATTACAACATGCTATGAAATGATATATTTTCTTTTATCAACAGTGTCGTTGGTGATAGTTGAACTTGTTAGTTCACAAAATCGACCCTAGACCAAATGATCATTGGCGCTATAATAGTATATCTAAGCTTACTACATTGTGGATCTAAATCATCTATTGAAATTTGCCAAAGTGAAAGTGGGAGTTAAGGGCTGAACTGAAGTAACATAAGTGGATTAGTGCCCAATAGGCCTTAATTTCTACACTAAAGATTTGAATCCATGAACAATATTCTGTCTAACAAGCCCCCTTACAATCCATATTGGATATGAAGGTAAGTAATTAAGAAACTCTAAATTGACCTAATATCCCAGATTATCCCATTAATTACATGACATTTTGATTAATCAAGTGATCCTCAAGTTACTCTTGTAAATAACACAGGTTGATAGATCCTGGTGATGGATTTTTTTCTCCGTTTTTATTCGCATTTAGCTTTTTATTTTTCAAGAGTTGTTTTTGCAGTCATGTTATTTGTTTATTTTAATTTACTATTAAAGTTTTCAAAACGTATTCGTTTGATTTGGTAGAGGATAAAAATGTTACTCCTATAATTGAAAAAAAAAAAAAAAAAAAACGGGTAGCCCAAGTAATGTACATATAAATAAAAGTAAAACTTTTGATTGAAATAGGAATGGGATTGCACCAATTTATCAGTTTTGCTAGGTGCAATTTCAACATAATTAAAATCTATTTACAAACAATAATTTTATCCCTAATCAATAATACCAATACCCTCCTCATCCTTTTTGTAAAATTAGACCACAAAATGGAACACATTGGGCATTTTGTACCGCAATTGACCAAAAGGCCCCCATCATTTCAATTTCATGCACTTGTGACCATCTTGATGTCTTCCTCAGCAAAGAAAGAGCCTGATGGGTGGTTTTGGTCCTTCTTTGTAGGGTAAGAAGCCTCCATTGCAATTCCACACTTGCCTGTGTATGTGCTTGCAACATTTCTCTCCATCTTAAAATATCCACTCTCTCCCCAGTTGGTGCCCCACGAGTTCCTCACCAACCAATAGTCTGTACCGTTCTCGGTGCCATACCCAACAGCAACGACACCATGGTCCAATGCTGACCCGCACTCACCAGTGAAAACACCCTGAAAAAAATAAATACCAAAACAAAATAAGTTCTCGAACATGTTATGTTATCAGACAATTATGTGAGGTAGTGACATATATGAAGTTGCTTACCGACTCGTAGAGTTGTAGGGCCCTGCCGCCGGCTTCAATGGCAACGCTAACGGGTTGGTGTGCAACGGCTTTCTTCAAAGCGTTCTCGTCATAGGACGGAACATCTTCGTACCCATCAATGCTAACAACCTTATTGTTCTCCTGCAAAATTATTAGTGCAACAAAGAAAGATGTTAGGAAAAATAAAAGGCTACCCTAAGTTAAAAGAGTATAATTAGGGAATTGGCATTTGAAAATTGACGACTCACCAGTGCAACGTTGCATTTTTGGTCATATGCTTTGTAAGGGTAGTCCGATTCAGTGTCCATACCGCCGTTTTGGATGATGAACTCGAAAGCGTAGTCCATGAGACCACCATTGCAGCCGGCGTTGTAGGATCTGTCGCAGTCTACAAGCTCTTGCTCTGAGAGAGACACCAACTCTCCTGTGACTATTTGGTTTATGCCCTCCACCGCGGCCACTGTCGAGAAAGCCCAGCAACTTCCTGCACGCAAGAATTTCAAAGGTTTTTGTGAGCAAAAACTTTGTAGCCATGTTTGGGTTTTGAGTGAGCTTGGA